GGTCATTTATAATCCTGAAATACGAAAAAAATTATTATATTTCATTTCTATTATCAATAAGGCAAGGAATACAGCTATTACATATTGCTGCTAAATACTGAAGCAATTGCTTCAGTATTTAGCAGCAATAAGCTTTCTATTTTTCAGTATTGTTGTGGATTATTAAATCGTGTTATAATTCCTTAATGCTGTATACTCACGTGAATTATTTTCCTATTGTAAGTGAATATTCAATAGTAAGCTGATATATTTATGTGATAAAAGTAACTTCTTTCTTTAAATCTAAAATAATTTGTGTTATATGTGGCAGTTTTACTAAATTGTGTTGTATCGATAAAACCACTCGAATTCTATGTTTCTTCTATCTTTGGAAAATAGTTTACAACAAATATTATGATGAAAAAAGTATTTGAACTTATCCTTTGCTTATTTGCCGTGTAAGTTCAGATTATTTTTTTCATTTCTTCCCAGGTTTCTATTTTTATTAATAAACCTGATGGCCAAATTTGATGACGTTCAGAAATTAACATATATAAAGTTTTATTTGAGCGAACTACTTACTAGATCAGAATGAACTGTCATACAACGATTTTGTTTTTCCTTCCCTCCAGGCAACAAATGTAGGCTTCCCTAAATTTATGTTATCAAAATATGTACATAGTTCTACTGTCATAATTTCAATTATCATACCTTACATACTCGTTCGGCTGATTTTCACAATCGGGTCACATGGCCCCTAACAGTACATATGTAACAATTATTTTTTAGAAAGATTCATAAATTTGACAATCGTATATTTAAAGTTATTAGATTCTCAACATAATTACGTGGTATCAGAATGCTCACCTGTCAAGCATGCCTATGAGAGCAAGACAAATTCATTTGGGGTCATATAGACTCGACCAATACCGGAGGGCTAATTTTGTTTTCATTGAAAATATTTTGATGACCACCACGTTTGAAATGAGCAAATAGTTTCACTTCTATCTCAGTAGCTTATTTCCAAAGCAACCATTATTTCCCTTAGCCATTACCAACCATTATTTCCCATTGCAGTGTTGAATCGCACAGATGATCAACTTGAAGCTCTAAACTCGCCCATCGCGGACGGCCTGAGTTTCCGCCGGGCCCCATCACGCTCATTGACGCCGCGCGGGCCTCAGTGCTTAAAACAGCGCGTGCAATCCCATCAGCTTTTGAAGCGCGAGCGGCGGGCGGGGCGGAAGGGTGGGGAGGGAGTGGCGGCCGCGCCTTTGAAGTGGACGCCGTCCGGGCGGGGCCGAGGGCCGCGATGGCGGCGACGATGTGCGCGTCCCACGTGGCTCCCGGGGAGAGGGTGGAGGGGCGTGGTAGCACTGATGATCAGATGGTTGAACGGCGTAGACGAGCGCACAGGAGGGGGAGGGTAGTGGGGGCGTAGCCTGCCTGGAAATTGCGATTGGACCATTTAGGCTCACGCAATAAAACTTTTTTTTGTATACCAACATCATAAAAGACCTTTTCTGTTGCAAGAAATCATTCATAAAAGAGCATTTTATGACACGAATGATTGCGTCATCACATACACATCCATTCGCAGTGAAAGAACCTTGGGGAGGAAGCGATAAACGGAACGGCCGACCACCGTTTTCTCGCACAGATGTCAAATACCCGTAACATCATAAGAACGTTGTTTCGCAAAATTAAGTTTGATATTTTAAAAATTTACAATCCTGTAATACAGAAAAAAGCTTCTTCAGTGCACAAATAATAGCATATTAAACTCGTTTATACTGCTGCTTTATTGCATTCGTACAAATTTTAAAACTCATTCCTAACTTTGCTAGTTTTCACAACATGTACTTACACAATGAAGATTAACATTATAAACTAACTGCGTAAACTACTAGTATATCCTTTCGTTGGTTCAATCTCCGTTTTTCACTTTTTAACATGACACACGGACTTTTTTGGTGGTAGGGGAAATAAAGGAAAATGCTCCAAACCTTCTGGCAATAATGTATGGTAATCATGTATCCAACACAGTAATCCATCCAATAAACCATCTGATAATCATGGTTCGAAATAAAATTAATTTTGTTTATAAATTGGATTATTCAAGTTGTTTTCATCGCACACTTACGATGAAAGGAGATAGTTATGGCGGGAGTGTTGCCGCTGGCGATCAGTTTTTGGGGCTGATGTTGGCGGTGACGCCTGGGAGAAATATTGGCAGTGACGGTGATGTATCCTTCAGACAAAGTAAAAGGAAGTTAACTGAGGTGGGCTTTACATAAGCAAGCTGATAGAAAAAGAATTGCCACCAATACGCACGAAATGGCTTTATAACGATTTTAGCTGCAACTGAGAGTAGCGAATCGACCAGGAATGTGAATACGAAAATGAAATTCCATGACAGCAAACCTAATGTGATTATAGATCATCAGATGCTGACAATGGCAACAATGATCGACACAATCGGTTGAATGATGACTGTGGGATGGTGCTAACATATCTGGTGAATTTAGTCACTGCTGATAATGTCGATGAGATTTTCAACAGTATTTTACATTTGTCAATTAATTATATTTCAGGGATATGTCTCTGTTTAATTGTAAATGACAATAGTATTTTCCTTTGTTTTCTTCCATATTACATTTTAATTTCAAATGTTGAATTGAATTGAATTTGCCTTATTTTACGTGACGAGACTCGGGTCATCAGGCCCGCTCTTCCGTCTGACCACGCATCCTTTCACCAACTAGGAGAGAAAGGAGGTATTTCTTGGGCGAGAAACAGGCGATTTGAATTTAGCTCAGAGGCGTCATTTAGGCTTGAGGCTCTTTTACATGCAAATAAATCTACGAACATGGGACATCCGGACATCCGACTTTACCTCCTCTCCTAAGGAAGGCGTACGAAGGATTTTTTCGCCCTTAAAAACCCACGGCTTCGATCGGGTTTCAACCGGCTAACTTGGGTACAACAGTCCAGTACGCTAACGTTACCACCATCGCCGCCGCTTTACGCTATCGCCGCCGCTATGTTATATGACATTTTTTAATAAAAATGTATCAAGAAAGAAAACAAAGAAAAAATACAAATGTCATCACAAATTGGCCAGTGACAACGTATATAATTGCAACAGTAATTGTGTGGGGTCAATGATAACGAAATTATGGCATTGATTTCGGCGTCTACAGCAGCAGCTGCTTGGTTACGATGGTTTCGTTATGACACGATGTTCTAGTGCAATACTAGGAACATGACGATGCACGGTAGCGTGCGAACCCCGACGGTAGCAGGATTTTCGACACCAGCAGGCCAATTGGGTCGAATTCAGCCGCTATCTGGAGGAGAACTCTTGCGACCGACTGCGCTGATAGGCATTTTCGTACTTTTTTCAACTCCAGGCGAATTTCAGAGCAGAATAATTCCCTAACAAATGGGCCACCGATCTTTCCTACCTCTTCCTTGCCGTATCATTACCCCTTACTCGCACATACACTCACACACACACACACTACCAAGCGTGCACTACACTACCACATTGTTGGGCGCTTTGAGTTTGTTCCTGCTGGGGCAGTGCGCCGCTGGTGGGAGATACCTGGATGAAGAAAATCCCACAAGTCGACGTGTAGTTCTCCGCCATATCTCATCATCCTGCGGAAGAAAAATGCCACCATTCGTGGTAAAAAACATTCATCTAACGACTAATGACCATAGAACTTGACGTACCCGGAATCATGGAATAATCACTCAATCAGTCGTGAAGCAGGGGAGGAAACGCAAAGACTGCGACAGTGGTTGTCACTGTAGAGTTGGCTGCGCTCCCGGCGCGGGACACAATAGAAACACGCCTTTATGAATTTGCAGCGCGGGGAAAGAGAAGGGGGAGCCGTGCGTTCTCATTCTGCTCCGCTCGCTCCTCTTTCCTCGACCTTCCGCGGGAGGTTAGCGCGCTTTCCCCTCTTCCTGGCCGGCCGGCTCCCTTCCCGTCCCGCACTGCCCAGTCCTCTCCCACCATCTCTACCTCACCCTGCCCTTTCTCTGCTCTGCTCCTCGCCACCCCGCTCTGCCCCCCGCCCCCACGCTCTTCGAGCCACCCGCATTGCTCCGTGCCGGCCCACACCGTCCCATCTCGCCTCACCCTGCCCAGACTCCATACCCTCCATGACCCACTGGACTCTGTCCTCCACCACTCTCGCACCGCACCCCACGCCCTTCACTGCCCCTCCCTGCCCCGCCCAAAACCCACCGAACCTCACGCCATCCCGCCCTTCTTCTTTCCATCAGTGTCATCCCTTTCTCCTCTTCGATTCGCCGCACGTCGGCCTGTGCGAAGCCTTTCTCTGATTTGGGGCTGCTGCGTTGCGGACTTTCGGAAAGTCCGGTGTTCGTGTCGGCCCCCAACTGTTTGCTTCCTGCCCCCTCCTGCCTCGTTGTGCATGGGATAGACTTTTTTTACGCATTGAAAAGAGACTTTCGCATGTTTTGATGAAAGGCGTGAGGCACGAGATGGGACTCTCTTGATTAGGAGAGTGAAAACTGAATGGTGTAGTGGTAGGGCATAGGGACTACTCATTCGTACAAAATACGTCACAGATATACGAGTATTTGTTATTTATACATGTGTTATCTTTTCGTGTTTATCGTGAAACGATTTCACAATCGTCTTTTGCTACATCTAGTTCCATGTCACGTGCTATACAGTTACATTTTCATAGAAAATGTTGTATTATTTCTTTTTTTGAAAGGGAAGAGAAGGAAAAGAGATAAGATGTGGTCAGAACACAGTATATTAACAAATTAGAAATTAAAATAAAAATTAAATGTGTTTATTATCAACTACGTAATACACTGCAGATTTTTTAAACGTAAATATCTGAACAAATTTTAATATCTACGAGTTTATTTTAAAAAATTAATTCATAGAATATGCAGTAACATTGAAAAAACGAGTTGAAGTCAATTTACAAAAACAGAAAATATAAATGATAAAATATAAAGAGAAGTTTGAATGTGAATATTGTTTTTTACATCTATATTGATTCCAGTACACTCTGATAAGTCTGATGAAAATGAAAACGTCTGCTCATAACCCTTCAAATGCGGCCAAGACCCTTGTTGAGTTCACGCAAAAGCGGAGACGATCCATGTCCGCAAACGCCAGAGACGTCGTCAGATTCCAGTGGCCACACCATCACTCCAGCCAAACCCTTCTTTACGACATATTCAGCCTAAAAAGAACAAGTACACATGTAATCACAGAACCACAGAGGAAAATAGAGTTTCAGAAGATGATAATATTCGGTACTATGTATTTTATGAGATTAATTTATTTACGTTAAAAACAGTTAAAACGGAGCGTTACGTGCAATGGGGAGAAGTTCATTTGAAGTTACATTTATGTCCAGAAGCAAAACAAGGAGTCATCTCAGCATTTGCCCGAGAAGCACGGAAACTGGACAAAAACCTGATCGAGATGGGGGGGAGGTCGTTGATCTAGTACAATACTTGTTACAGGTTCTTTACAATTATACCATCCAAATTTACATTAAACACATTAAATGTCAGTGTAAAAATTAATATTTCTCGGTAGAAAAAGAGTCTATTGGTTGATTTGAGCTCACACTAAAAGTACCGCAAGTATGTAAACTGAAATATGGAGATACTGTGATAATGATGGCTGAAAGTGTGTAGATTTTTTTTCTATCTAAGGTAAGTAATTAAGTCAATTAGTTTATAAGCACCAATGTGTCCTTACATTATGATCATATGGCAGTGTTATTGCATTTTCACTAGTGACTGACTACTACTGTCTGAAGTATGAGGTTACCTTGGGCATTCCCTAAGACCTCAGCTTTGCTATCTGTTCTTGAACTAAATTCACATAACTTGTAAGCGATCTCTGTGTTGAGAAACTGGGGCCAACGCCCCATTGAATTCCAGCATTACTGATGAAGGGCGTCACGAACTGGTAAGTCATATTTAGCCCCGTGTCCAGATACTTTTGATCACATAGTGTAAGTCGATAGAACATATTCAATTCTAAGTCTGTTTTCAAAGTAATGGCTAACACCGAGATACCCAAGTGCCAAGCCTTCAATGTACTAAGCATATCATTTCAACTGTTATGGTAAACGCGTTACTTTGATAAACTTCGGATTAATCCGTCGTGATTCGTCATTACACCTATGTTTAGCAACTAGATATTGCACTTTATAAAGTACTAATTAGCTTATGTTAATTGAAATGCTATATAAATGTGAATATATGCCTACGACAATACGTTTATGAATGTCCATGTAGACAATCTTTTGTTACAGATTACACAATTTGTAGTATTATCACATTACTAGAATGAAGAAAGTGAATTACATTTTACGTGGGAAATATCACATTAACTGGTTCTCAGTGGTAGGTCGTGTTAAGGTTAACAAAACACTTGCAGCTCCATAAATCACAGCACGTGCGATTACATATAAACATAGTATTATTCACCACAGTCGACAATACAAGATTCTTGGTATTTATAATTTAAAAACGTCACTAATCAACATATGAATGGTTGAAAAACTGAATCGTATGAGTGACACATTATACACTCTGAGAAAAAGCGTGTTTATTTTCGGCTATATTTCTGTGGAAATGTATTTTCGTGGTTTTAATGAGCAATTGACATTCCGTGATTTTATTGATGAAACAAAACACCACAACTTTACAGTAATATTGACTTAAATAAACAGATTTATGTGAATTTATAAAATGCCACATCGTTTTCACCCCTTCATATGCTTGTTTTCTTCGTACTTAGGAGAGCGATCTTTGACTGTACAATCAATCATACTCGGCTATGTGTGCCAGCCATTACAGTAGAAAGAAAAGCTCTTATTCCTTGTCGTATTGTACAAAAAGCAATCAACCGTTACCTCAAAAAATAAAGTCGACCAACGAGAACCCCCCCCCAAAAAAAGGTCACAACCGATAAGAATACTATGTAAATGTAGTCTGGGTGTAACAATATCGTCAAGAGCCGCCTAATTTCCAAAGAACGAGTATATTTATTACAAAATAATTTTTGGGTCTATTTTACGCTTTGCTTTGCGGAAACTTGACGTTTTCAAGTTGGAGAGAAGGCTTCGCCGTCCATATATGCTGTTTACAAAGAGGAACCTCATGTCTATACAACCATAATTTTCAAAGTAATTTTCACGAAAAACGGTACTCTGGTGAATGGTTGCTGAGCAGTTTGTTAACATGTTCGAAAGCAACCACTCACTTACGCATAATTCAAATTACATTAGAGACTGTCCTCGTTCTTTTTCGTCTTTCGTTCTCCTCTCACGCGACTGATTCGTTCCACGAGTGCGGTAAGGAATAAGATCCGAACTGGACGCAGGAATCAGCAGCTCTAGTTCACCCCGCACGCTGACTTCGTATCGAGACCCACTGCGTCGTAAAAAGCGCTCGGTGTTTACTACCGTCCAGATATTTGACGTCTGATTTCAAGTGCACACCCTTTCATTCAGCCGCGCCTCGCCCTTCTCGTCTGCTTTCGCCCCCCCCTCCAATTCCCATTTTCCGGCGGGCGACTGATACGCGGGGCTCGGAGCGCCGCCGCCATTTGAGTTGGCGGCGCTGACCTTTGCAGCGCGAATGGCGCCCCCGGGGACTCCCCTCGGCGCGCGGGGCGGCGCGGACCGCAGCGGAGGTCCGGCGCCCCTCAGAGGGCCGTAACTCAATAACACTGACAGTCGCTTTTCTCCGCCGCTGGTCGACCGTTTGTCCGGATTTGGCGCGGCCGTCCGTCGCGCACTTTGCGTCCAGACGAAGCGACTCCCACCTGGTGGAGATTCTCTGGGAAATCAGTTCGAATGGGAAGTCGTGCGGGCAGGGAGGTGGGCTGCAGGAGGTAAGGGTTTGGTTGAGAGTCAGGGATGTTACGTGCCAGTTGTGGACAGTTAACTGATTTATTATTACGTGTTTCTGGACGTGTCAACAGCTATGATCACATGTCCCGTTATTGTAGTGCATGTTTTATTCCAGTAAGAGGTGGCGATCTTCCCCCTGTAAGCAGTGCCTCTTACCGGGAGGTACTAGGTTCGAGACACACGGGGGTGGCAGGATTTTCAACGCTAGCTAGATTGATATGACTAATTCAGTCGCTGTCTGGAGATGAATTCTAGCGGCCGGTGCTATGGTCAGTAGACCTCCGTGGTTTCTCCGATCAATACCAGGCAAATTCCGGACTTACACACACTTAGATGAACATTCACAACACTATCACATCTGCCGGGAGTCCGGTGGGGAGTTCAGAATTTGTTCCTGCTGGGTCATTACCCCGCTAGTGTGAGATCCTGGTTTGGGGATTCCCCGTTAGCCGACGGTAGCTCGGTGCCGGATCTCGCCGTCTAGCGGGGGACAATAAACACCACATCGCCCCAGCTGGGAGACGCTCTAATCTCCCGACTAGTGACCAAACGTGCATAGACATGTAGGGCACGTACATGTGAGTAGTTGTATGTGAGGATTGAAGATAGAACGAGGAAGTGGAAAGATCGAGTGCGCTCCGTGTCCCGATTTTTAGGGTGCTGTTCTAGCATTTATCTAACATTATTGAAGAAATAACAGAGAACTACCGATCAGGGCTGCCGGCCACTAGAATTGTCCTCCGAACACAAGACTAATTCGACCTAACTATCTAGTTAGTGTCAAAAGCCCTGCCATCGCCGCAGCTCAAACACTAAACCCAGAACAATCTCAGCCGGTGGAAATCAGCTCAAAAGGGAAGCCGTGAAAACAATTGGCTTGCCGCAGGTGAAGGTTGGTTTGAAAGATGTTTTTCAGAGATGGATAGAGGTAGTTGAAAATGAAAGTGTGAGAATGATGGCGAAGAGCCATTCACGACGCAGGAGAGTTTTTGTACGTGACGGAGATTCTCTAGGAATCAGTTTCAAATTCTCAGATCAGATTCTCTAGGAATTGTATACCAATTCAATGAGAGAAATAGTGGCGGTGCAGGTAGGAACTGTGAAGTGTAATATTGAAATAAAATGTTCCAGTGTGAGAAACAGATGTGAGAATCTGAAAGTGATGCGGACAACGAACGCTTTGTTCTATACAACCCAACTCCCTTTTGACTTAAATTGGTGCTTATGCAGGTTCCCATTATTTATAACGGTTATGTCTAACTTACAGAAACGTCAATATGCACCAAAGGAAAGTTGAACTGATCTAAGGTAGTTTAGGTTCCTCTAGGTGTAATCTCCCTTTTAACGTACGGAAGTGGCGCTTTAAAATAACAAGCTGTACTGTATTTCATCTACGAGCTCTTGGGGTCGTATGAAGAGAAGAGCACCTGAGGAAAATCACCTGAGGAAGCGCTGTAGATATACAAGGTGAATATATGAGGTGTGAACACGTTTGTATCGAACGTGTGCTACACATTTTCCTGTGAATATCGAATCATTTGCTTAGATTCACGTTTCACATTTTCAAAAGGTTCAAGTCTCATGTTTGTAAAATGAGCAATTCACGCCGGGGAGGGGAGTTGGTATCTATTACTAGCGTTTGGAGAGATACGCACTAAGATAAGATGTGTTAACACTCCTAAGCGGCATTACATTCTCTAGTTTGAGAGATTGTTAGAAAAAAAAATGTCTCCCTAGTCTCAATAAAATGTAATTTAAAAATCGTGGTGAACATGTAGTTCGCAGTGTAATAACTTCGTTTCACTGAAATGATTGAAGAACGAAATACTGGTATCAGCATATACAATAACCATTTTATTATAATTTATAATAATTTTTTATACGACACTTGTTGGCTAGGACGTTACTCACCTTCTTGCGAATCTCTGTAAGAGGTTCGTACGTTGCCCATTGGTCTCCTTTGTGAGCGAAGTATATTCCATTCTCTTCGCTCAAATCCCAGGACTCATCTTCAATGATCATGCAGAGCTGTAAAACACAGTTCAAATAAAAGAAACGAAATACCAAACAATAAACAAAATGCTTGATTTCACAACAATTTTTCCCTGGAAAATTTTGAAAACCAAAGTGTAAGAAAAATAGTCCAGCCCAGACTGGTAGGCGAAGCAGGTATTTGAACCAGCAAACTCGGGTTTCAGACGCCAGTGCGCTAACTTCCATACCGCTAGATAAAACTAATTATAATTATATTTTAATGTATTATTTTTCGTAATTTTAACTTTATTTTCATGCATATGTATAACTTTAACTCAGGTGCTTCTGGATTTGATAAGTCCATTCCTAGGTCTGAGAAGAGGTGTCCGTCAAAGTCCAAAACTACCTGCGAGCGGAGAATGGAGTCTTATAATACATTAGATTGCTTTTATTAACGCTTTGTGATTAACCCAATTTGAGTATGCATAACGTTTTGCGCCTAACTACTATGTTTCTGATCAGTTTGTTAAGAAACAAGAAAAAATGGAAAACTATTTCAATTATAAATTCTAAAAGGAAAAGCCTTCATATCTAGGCCAATGTTATTGAACAATCACCTGAACAAAAAGTTTGACTGATTTTCATAATGTTCAAAGTTTGCTTATTTTAACTAATTGTTCAGCAATAAAGTATTTTGACATAAATACATTCGAAATGGTGAGTTGCGCAGACACTGTGTGGTTTTATGTTAATTGCATTGGGCGAAAGCCGGAGCCTCGTTCGCAATGTAGTCACGCATGCTCTACTCGGATCAACGCCCCTAAAACGAATATCAACAAACTACAGATCATCCAAAACCATTTCCACAGACTGGCCATTCATGTACTCTGGTTCATACGTTCAAATGTTCAAATTCACAAAGAATTTTATTCACCCCCGATTCTTTAATATTTTTCTCCCCTATTTTAAATGTATTCTGCAAAATAAACATAATTATCAAAGCAATTCAATATGACTCAGCCACAACCTACCAACTCACATCTAGAATAAAAATTAATATCTAATGGACTCATTTCTCAGCATATTCTCAGACATGAATTAATTCCAAAGGTGCTCTGTGATTTTCGTATTCATGAGTTGTTGGCTATTCGAATTTAAGTTTTATATTACGACAGGCAAACATACAAAATGGTATATATAATACTGAAATATGTACTTCATTATTTCGTGAATAGCTTTAGCCTACATAATTATTCACTCACGCGTAGCCATGCGCACTATTGTTATATATGACTGGTTAGGCTCAACCAAAATCGTATTATTCAAAGGTCGCAAGACAGTAATTTTTGACTGACTGAGAGTTTTGTCAAACCTAAAGATTCACGAGCCAAACCTAGGAGCACCAGATATAAGAGCTCTGACTACATCACATACTAGTGGAACGAAATAAAATTTGACAGTTCATATACTCTCAATGGTCTTCGCTCTTGTATATCTAGCTGTCGTCGCTTCGCTAACTACAACCTCACCCTCATACGCTTTTTTTGCGCCTGACAACACTTTTTTGCGACTGCTTTCAAAATATCGAACTCAAACCGCGCAACGAAACAAAGTAATGAACAAATGACAACAGATAAGGTCCTATTGATTTTAAAGAGTCATTATAAACAGTGTTTGTGCTATAGAACCGTTAATGGCAGCAACTAATAACACATTTATGGCTCATTATCTTTCGTTTAAAGAAAAAAACGCAAAATTCTGTTTAGTAGTCTGTTCAAACTATATATATTTCAAACATTAAGCGAACATTAAGCATGTGGGTTTCAGTATTTAAGATATTAATCGTTTGAACAGACTACTAAACAGAATTTTGTTGTTTTTTTTCTTCGTATTATCTACGCCATATTTCTTGCGCCCTTGTTTCGCTAGATGAGGTGGGACGGTTATATCAAATCCATAGATCAGTTTTCGACGCAAAATATTACGTAGGAGGAAACATTTTTGGCTATTAGATTTTGTCAACAGCGCATGGCTGTCATTTATTCTTAATACTTCTAATATTTCTAAAGGAGTGTGGGTGGTGATTCCGGAGCGGAAGAAAATCTTAGGTGTAGCGTACCTCGTAGATGGTGAGGTATCCGGGCTCCTGCGTGACGGCGCCCGGCTCGCCAGGCCCCAGGGCGGGCGCCCCCACCCCGTGGCGGGCGGGGTCAGCCAGCGTGTAGGTGCGGGCGTACAGCGGCACGCCCACCACCAGCTTCTCCGCCGGCACCCCCGCCGCCAGCCACTGCTCCACGCTGCGCTCCTGCCAACACACACACACACACACACGCTCGCGCTTGTAATTTGAGAGCCCCGGACAACCCCAGGTTTCAACGGCTCACATTCTATTTCTATTTTTCCTTTTTTTTAAATTTACGGTCGCATTAACATTTAGTTCATTTGCGAGCACTATAGCATTTAACGGCATAGCAACTGTGAAGATGACATGATATGGTGATGATATGGGGTGAAAGAACGAACACATGCCCAAGGCGGTACTCGAACCCTCGATCCATCAGTCCGAGATCGCACCGGCACTACTGCCTTACCGATCTCGGCCATCTGGACGCCCATTCATATTTTTATTTATTTTTGTTGTTTTTTTCGCGATTTCCTCTTTTTGGATCAGACGAAGGGGATTCATAGTCTGTACCTTTTCTCAAGCTGTCGTCAATTATATAAATGTTGGGAGAAAGATCAATACAACGTTGACATAGCGGAATGGACGATAGGCGCACAAACACGTGTCTTCGAGGCAGAATTCGAAGCTGCGGACTTTCTAGGCAAGGAAGTATCTGCGCCCACATTTAAACAGCCTTGTTTTTGTGGTTTGTATGTTTTACAAAGAATTTTGTGTGTTTATGCTGTTGTGTAATTTAAAGTGTTCGCATTTGTATCTGGTAGGTAGAACTTCGTTGCTCTTCTCACCCATTTCATTAACTTCCCTTACATCATCATCAATTATTTAACAAGTTCAACAAAAAACTCATCAGAAATAAATTCTTTGAATATATTCTTGTGGTTTCTTACCTTGTTACTTAGTCAAGAAGAATTACAAAATAAAGTAGAGTTAACCTATTCTTAAGAATAAGTTAACCTCTTCTTGATGATAAAATGTTTATCATATTTTTGGTGAATATTTTTCATCAATAATGTGTCTAAAAATGTTTCTAACGACAATCTTTTTGACATAAAATATGATTTATGGGTATTTTTTCGCATTTTTAAAATAAAGGAACGGAATTATCTTTAATGCGAGAACAACCTTATTAATATGTTCTGAGCAGCTTGCATCAAGTTTTACAGTATCACGTGCAGGGTTATAAAACAGATCATTTGTGATTATATATAAAATAACTATTAGTCACCTTCGTATAATTTATAACATTATTGGTCTTAATTATTTCAAAACAACGGCTAATCGATAAAAGTCCAATTTTCTCCGTAGTCATGTGAGTGAACTTTAATGGTACAAAAAAGCTCATTTGGCTAGGTATTCATTCTTTGCGCAAGTAAGACGAGATGACATGTCGTTCTGCGTTGTAACACGACGAATCCTTCAATTCGGCGCTCTGCTGCCAGCGTCGGATGGTGAATTGTCACATACGAGAAAGAAGAGAGTGAGTTCGGGGTGGCAGCTGAGGCCTAGAGAGAGGATTGCGGCTACTGCTTGAAATTTTATACAACAGATGCTAGCAGTAAAATATATTTCACAAATAAAAGGGATATACTCTTTGATGTCTCGAAGTAGAGCACATCGTTCTGTATGGCTTTAAAATAATGGATCTGTTTGTACTCGTCGTACAATTGTATAAATATTTTACCTACTATCGGTTTTTATATCGGCTAACCTTTATTTTCATCGGCAACTCTTCACTATGGGTTATACGATAAACGTGAAGTTGATTAGAATTCTGCTCTTCAAATCTTACTAGACAAAATTCCTACAGATTTATATGAGATATCAAGTTACTTATTGTCCATAAATATTGTTTTAATGAAGAATTTTAAAATTTCATAAAGAATAAGGTTCTGTTAAGGTACACTTACCTAGTACTCTATGCCAAAAATTAATTTTAGATATGTAAGAATTGTACATAAATCTTATCTTATATTATGTAGTGGAAATTCAAAATTACATGTAAAATAATTTAAGATAAATTTTACGTAAACTAATGATGTTGTCTGACTTGTAACTTTGAAACAAAGGATTGCAGCAAGTGACGCTTAGCTTATTCTACAATTCGTGTTGGAGATGTTTTCTTAAATTAAAACGTTAATGTTTTTCCGCAAACCTTAGCCACATTTTTGTCAATGCAAATATTACGTTGTCAAAGAATGTTGTAAACTCTAAATTTTGCCATTCTCGAGCGGCTGCTTACCACAGAATAAGCTCCGAAACTTGACCCAAGAGGAGCATTAGGTGCTGTGATGTTACTAGTGGCTGCCGTGTAAAAGTCAAACGCCATCAGGTTGACCAGATCCACATGTCTGGAACAAAAATAGACCTCGTGTGTAATTAAGTGTGCATTGAAATATATTTGTTTCGTTCTACAAAGCGGTGGTAAACATTCTACAATAATTCGTTGCTGATTCGAAATGTGAATATAACAAGGGTTCGGTATTCAGGAGATGAATATTTAACAATTATAAAACAGAGTCATTGTTTTATAGTGTGCGCCCTCTATATAATTTATGTTGTTTGGGATATTGAGAGGTTTCTTCATAATATGATCAGAACGTGGAAGCCAAACAGACCACTGTTGTGCTTATGAGTTATACTTTTTATTGCAGATATTGGCATCAAATTTGTATTATTTAAACAAAAATGGATATATACTTTTATTAAACTCATTTGAAAGAATAAACCTAAATGTGACTCATTGTCAATATATATGTGTTTTTCAATATATATGTAAAATAAAACTGATATTCGGAAGTGTAAAATCTGCCCTCCCTCACATGACCTGGAAATGCGCCTGGTTCCAAGCGCTTGGTGATAATTCGGGAGCAGTAGTGTAACGAAATGAGTGCGGGCCCGCCCGCAAAACTTTTATCCAAGCACCCTTTATAGAAGTGTATAGCAAATACAGGAAGTGGTTACCTCCTTAAATAATAAAAATATCCCCTAAAAATAGATCCTGTTTTATCTGCACCCCGTGTTGCGGGCCTTGCGAGCCCGAACGTTATGCCATAAGAAGGGAGAAATTTTTAAGTTGTGTCATTCGAGTTGCCTTAGAAGAAAAAGTATTTTCTACATAATCAGGTCAAAAAATCAGATACCTGATAGAATCGTTACAGTACTTTAATTTAGCATAAATTCTGGTCTATAACATAAAATCAAACGTTCCAACACTGAAATTTTACTGGGCAAACTCTTGTTGATATTTGTAGGCTATGTCTTCAATTTAATAGTCGCTTATAGTGTTAAGGTGTTTTGGATGGTAATAAATATTGTGTTTTTGAATTGGTAATTCTTTACAATTTTCAAAAATATACAGGGTTTGTAGAAAATTAAACTTGCATCAATTTTTGACCGTTCTTTGATACACACGAAGAAAAAATAAAGAAAAAATTTCTAGAAGTGTGAAGTGGAAATGTTTATGTAAGATAAATAAAACACGAAGAGTTTACAGAAATAATGATAGCACTACACCTTGAATTAATCGTTATAAGTGCATTGAATCGTGATTCATTTTCGTTATTATGGATGTTAAAATAAATAGTATAAATAGTTCTAAATAATTAAATTGTTAGTCATCTTTGAACACCATCAATTACATCTTCAAAATCATACATTTGTTCTATATCTTGCTTTACTACCACTGTTGAAAAGCTAAGGATTGCTGTCGTATTCTCTTATTGACTAGAACATGAGAAATCAGAACAATCATTTCATGTAACTGAAACCGCAAACGAATCAGTGCTCCTGAAGTCACAAATTGTTACATCCGTCAAGTCTCACTATTCCATGAGTTGCATCCATTACCTCAGTATCGTTGAAAAATATATTTTTTGATTTTTAATTTTGAAATAAAATGATATGTCAAAAAAATAAATATATTCTGACATGAAATATTAAAATGCATAATTTCTGTTTTTATTTCATTGTTTCTAATGTGTAGTAGTAATTTTGTTGTCAACAATTTCTCAAGTAGAATTGTTTCATTAAGGGGTTCAAAGCATTCACGTTTTTTGCCACACAAAAGGGCACAAGAGGTTTGGGGCTCACTAGGGTATCTGATTGCTTTCCTCTTCCCACTCTCGACTGTGCAGAGGGTACTCACTCGGCGATGCCCGCGGCGTCGTAGGCGACGCCCAGCATGTTGGGGTCGGCGCCCACGGCCACCGACAGCTCCAGCCCCTTGGCGCTGAGCGAAGCGCGCAGCTCCTTCAGCAGCAGCACGAAGTTGTCCTGCGCACCACGCCCCCGCCCCCGCGCCCGTCAGCGCCGCGCACACCCACGCCGCCCACCACTGAGGACTCGGCCGTAAATTACGAAATGTTAAAAACGGTATCAATTGATGTCGCGGCAGTGCCCTTTATGGGGAGGTCGTAAGGTTCAAGTAGGTGGCAGGATTGTCGACACTAGCTGCACAGCTATGTCAATTGAATCGTCTATTTCAGAAACCCGTCAAACGCCAAATTCCTCATTCAGAGATAACTGAGAAAAAGGCTCCCAATTTATTTGATCTCAAAATATTTGTATATTTTAAATCAGTTGATAAATGAATATTTTCATGTAAACATGCACTAAACTATGTGTCTAACCTCTTGGAGCAATAATCGCATAGACGGATATAGACGGATTTATGAAATAAATGATTCAATTTCAACCGCTGTTTGGATTCTAGCGACCGGCTGCTCTGATCGGTAGTTTTCCGTGGTTTCTCCGATCAACATCAGGCAAACGCCGCAGCAGTACCGTTAAAACGAGCCACAGACCGTACGCGATATTTCCTTCCCCTTCCTTTTTCTATCCTCATCCCTTACCTACTTTTACATGCATTACCCTCTCACACATGACAGGAGACTAGTCATAAGCTTACAGCTTGTCCCGGCTGGGACGGTTTCCCGCTGGTGGGAGATGCCTGGTTTTGCAAAATCTCGCAAGCCGACGTGTAGCTCAGCCCTGTGAGTGCAGTTACTGTTACGTCTTACGAAGGCGGTGTTGATTTACCTCCGCTGGACCATGCGGTCAGTTGCTGATTGATTGATGCTTTCAAGTACGCCGCTAAGTTCATTAGTCCAGTCAATGTAGTAAATGTTTTATTCCTAGATGGTGTTATTCCTTCTTCGCTCGATGGAGAAAACCGCGCCGTCCTACAAGTAGACTTTGGGGGGGGGATGGGGGCTGTCTCCCCCAGCGAAAAGCTCTCGACAGCGAAAAAGTACGAACTCGAGCCGCGGAAGCGTCCGTTTACGTCTCCCGAGTATAGCACAGTTCTAGACGCATTCAACTCAAAGCTTCCGATTGATCTCCTTACTGTTTGATGGTGTAGTGAATGTAAGCACAGTAGAATCCCGGTAATGCGTTAGGGTGTGAGATCTGTTTGATTTGATATATATATATATATATATATATATATATATATATATATGTGTGTGTGTGTGTGTGTGTGTGTGTGTGTGTGTGTGTGTGTGTGTGTTATTAGCAGACAATGTAACATAGCGTGTGATGTGAGAAAATGGCAACATAGAGTAGCGATCGCATCATGAACCAGATTCAGTTTCTTACGGCAAAAGAAGATTACCGATTTTGTAAGTTCCTCTAAGTGAAAATTACCGCTACATAAACATGTGATATACACCGTAGTTACAGTTCCAATAAAGTTTTAATTTCAACAGTTTCAATAATTAGTTTTTCAGTTCTACATTAATTATAAAATCATTTATTTACACTACGAATAAGCAATTTTTTATTTTATTTTTCCTTCATCCCCAGTTTTGTTCGGATTATTCGAAAGTTCGGATTTGCAGGATTCGTATTAGCGAGGTTCTTCTGTGATTTGTGTAAGAGCAGTGCAGAGTACGAGGATAAGGAAAGAGAGCTCGCGCGCGATCCTTGGCTCGGTTGCTAGGGTACTGGCCCAGCATTTGGCTAATGTTTATACGAGACCCCATACAAAAAGAAAAGTCAACAATCTACCCCTACCCATCTGTCAGCAATAACATATGTTGTCCATAAGACGACACTGGCGGTGATAATTTGTTTCTGGCTAGGCAACAACATAATTACGTATCTACGTGGTTGTCAGCTGACGCACCTTGTCTTGGGGCCGACCTTCGCGCTGCGTTGGGTACTCCCAGTCGAGGTCCAGCCCTCCAAAGCCGTACCTCTCCACGAACTCTGCTGCCAGCTGAGCGAAGCGCTTCCGACCAGCCGACGTCGCTGCCATCTGTTGATCAAACCAGGAACTAAAACATTGCGGAACAGCACTGATTTTCCGCAGTAGCGACTCTGTCGTGCACAAGTGAAAGTATCTGAAGACGCAGACTACTGAATGGACAAGGTACAATTGATATTCACTAATTTACGAGAGTAAAAGCGAAACATTACATTTGGGTGTAAAAATAATTTTCTGGAAATTATAATTAATATATTACAAATATATCGATCCTAGATTGGTATACTGTCTCAACGCGAAAAGCAAGGTTTTCAGATAACGAATTTAAAGTTTTTGTTTAAGAAATCAAATGTAAGGAACCTACAGCGGATAGTAACAATTAGGAACTCTTACTAGCTGATGGATTAAGATGGAATAATTTTAAGGAGAATTCATAGCAGTTCTGTTGAGAACTGATAAAATACTCGAAAATAACAATCTTAACACAAAATTCCTATTTGGTCTACTTGTGTCAGTATTGCATACAATGAGCAATATCAAGAACAAATGATAAAAATGTAGCATTATCTGATCCAGTATATGTCCCCGATCTTGTTAGATTCCACAAGTTTGGTTTTGGAAATTTATTGACTGCACTGCTACAGAATGGCCTATTTTGTCATACTTTCCCCTTGATTAATACGTACATCAGAATACTTGCGAGAACCTTCATTCCATCCGCCAACAGCCAATAACGTGGTCACATGCGGATTTTTTGCGGCAATGGCTGCAAATTTCTTGTATGATCCTGAAAAATAGTGAAATTATTCATGTTAAAAACTTTTTTCATTTTCCTAAACGAAGAAGAGCGCTGGATGACATAGAGAAAACATTCTAGAGAATTTCATGAAAAAAATGGATAGAATTGTACACGTAATTACTAAGTTAGCAGTTGACCGTCATGGTACCAAAGATAGTATGTAGACTACTACAAAGAAAATAGGGCGGAATTGTTAATAAAATTAATAATTTCATATTCTCTCTTTCTCTAACTCTCTCTATCTCTCTCTTTCTGTATCTATCTCTCTCTTTCTGTATCTATCTCTCTCTTTCTCTCTATCTCTCTTTCTCTCTTTTTCTCCCTCTCTTTCTCTCTCCCTCTCTCTCCCTCTCTCTCACTCTCTCTCTCTCCCTCTCTCTCCCTCTCCCTCTCTCTCCCTCTCCCT